TTTCAACATGGGCATATCTAGATATAACATTGATTTGTATTGAACTCCTGAGATCAGATTTAGCTGTCAGATAAATGTAGAGTAGTACAAATGAAATGTGTCTCTGAGAGTTGGAAGAGTTATGAAGCCGCAACGTTGAAAATACGAAATGTACTAAGTTAAATTCCTCCTCTGTCTACAGTATAGCAGTATTCCCACATTAAAGGGCACATGTCATGCTTTTCCGGTTATTACCCGTCCCCTTGTGTGTTATGAAGGTTTTTCTGCATGTAAACGGTCTGCAGAGTCACAAGCCCTCAAAGTACACCCTGTAGCGAGTAAAACTCTAACACAGAAAAGACCTGTCTATGCTGCCCCAGAACGCCTCGTTGGAGATTTCTCTTTTTCCATTGTTTACTTCTTGGGTATAGTGACGTAACACGAGACACCGCGGAACTCAGCCTGAGCACACACACAAACTCCCAGCCAGGCTGCGGGTGTGTGTTTCGGGCTGGGTTCGGCGTGCCGTTTTCTTTTGTGAGGCGAAGACTTTGACGCCGGGCCCACCAGATACCGCGACCTCCCCCCTCCCCCCAAGCCTGGTTTTGGCGCCGTCGTCTGCCTAGGGCCACCTTAGATACCCCACTCTCCCCGCACCCCTCCCGCGAAGGAATAAAAGTAGATTTCATTGTAACTGTCTCTTAGTCGTTGAAAAGTTTTGGCCCACCAAATTGTTCTCCCCTAATACCCTACGTACGGTCTACTAGACAACCACAAAGTCGGGTTTGTTGAAATTTTCCTGTACACAACATATAATAGACTCTGGATATTATTATATACTACTTTTGTTCAATTATTATCCCCTGGAAAATTTCCAAGGTCACGTACCGGGAAAAGATGACTAGTACAAAAGGTACTAACCAACTCCAGGTATGATTTTAATCTAAATATAAAACACGTTACAAAGGTTTGAGTGTAAACAAAAGAGTAAATGTCGTAGAGAACATATCATTACACCATAAGTGAAGAAGACCAGGATGTGGCCGGGACAACCTCGAGGACGACCGGGGGGGGAGGGACACTCGGGTCAACCAGAAACAGACGCTCTTT